ACCTTCAGGAGGTCCTCCAACGGAAGAGACTATCTATCTAATATACTAATGATTGTCTTTGAGGATCACTCCCTTCCCCGTGATCCTTCCTTGTGTTGCTCACCAGGCTCACCGTGAGCCTTTCATCGTTGTTGGTGATCCCTTATACCTGGATCACTACGCCAAGCCTGATCCTTTCCCTATTGATTACTTAAACGATTGGTCGTCGCGGCTTCCCGCGCTGCGACTGCGCCCACGCCCGGCCGTCAGTACGGTCATTTCATGACACTAGAGCCTCTAGAACTTACTAATACATTCCTAATAGGTAATTAGCCATTTTACAGCGTATATACTCTGGGAATTTTTTCCCCAACTCTTTAGAGTTGGCCCCTTCACTAAGGCGGAGCCAGCGGGTAACTTAGGAAGATGCAATCAACGTTAACAAAAAGGGCCATCCATCCTCCACGTTTTCGTTCCCCAGTCCCCACTGCCCTTTCACATGATTCAACCCCAGCTTCTGCCCCAATTGCCGGGAACCCGCCGGCAACATGGCTGTGACGTCGCCGAGCCTGTCGCCGCTTTCCCCTGCCATTTCGAGTCCCGCATTTATCGGACCTCGGCAGCGACGGAACGGCTAACATCGCATGCTGCGACCTAGCTCCCCGACAAATGGAACAGAGCAACCAGCGCCAGATGGTAATGGCACCAGTCTGCAATTGCTCCGACAGCATTGCTACTTGAAGACCTCGTTCAAGCCATTACGCAGTTGATATACACTGACTGATTCATTGTTCCTTCAACTGAATTCACTGCGCTCGCCGCTGCTACCCGTTCTGTATCCTCCTTTTCACTGTCACTGACCCAGGATACCTCTTTGAACCCTATTTTGTCTTGCCCGCCATGTCGCACTCCAAGCCCGTCCTTCCTCAAAACGACAATGTCGCCCACGCTCTTGCCGGCGCCGGCGGCGGTGTCCTGTCCATGGCCCTGACGTAAGACATCCATTAATCCACCTTCCACGGGCACCCCTTTTTCTTATATCCCGAACTAAACCCCCTGGCACACAGCTATCCTCTCATCACGCTATCCACGCGTGCCCAAGTGGAATCAAAGCGAGCCGAAACAGCCTTCCTAGCAGCCGTGCAAAAGATCGTCGCGCGCGAGGGCGTGTCAGGCCTGTACTCAGGCCTGTCGAGCGCCCTGTTCGGCATCAGCGTGACCAACTTTGTCTACTACTACTGGTACGAATGGACGCGCGCCTTCTTCGAGGCCGCCGCCGTGCGGGCCGGGCGCGCCTCCAAGAAACTGACCACAGTCGAGAGCATGATCGCGGGCGCCATCGCCGGTTCCGCCACCGTCATCCTGACCAACCCCATCTGGGTCGTCAACACGCGCATGACGACGCGCAAGCGCAGCAGCAGCAGCGTAGACGACCAACAGCAGCAGCCTACCAAGGACGCCGCCGCGGAACAGGTCCTTCCCGGGCCCGTTCCCTCTCCATCATCATCAAGGAACAAGAACCCGTCGACCCTCGGCACACTACTGACCCTTTTGCGAGAAGAAGGCCCCTCGGCCCTGTTCGCGGGGGTCGTGCCCGCGCTGGTGCTCGTCATCAACCCGATTCTGCAGTACACGCTGTTTGAGCAGATGAAGAACTGGGTCGAAAAAGGCGGGCGCCGGCGCGTGACGCCGACCTTGGCGTTCTTCCTCGGCGCAATCGGCAAGCTGTTCGCCACGTCCGTCACCTACCCGTACATCACCGTCAAGAGCCAGATGCATGTTGCTGGCGCAGGGGAGAAGAAGGAGGGGGTTAGGCAGGCGATTAATAGGGTTATTAAGGAGGAGGGGTATGCCGGGTTGTATAAGGGTATGTTCTCCCGTTTTTCCTCCTTTTTACTCTCCCACCCCGCCGCTGTTCTGGGGAGATACACTAAGACGTATTGCTAACTGCTAACTACCTGTGCACACTTCCAGGCATCGGCCCCAAGGTCACGCAGAGCGTGCTGACGGCCGCCTTCTTGTTCGCCTTCAAGGATGTGCTGTACGAATACTCTGTTCGGCTGAGGAGATCGGTGGCCAAGCAGGCCATCACTGCCTGAACATGGCTTGCTACATAACCGGGAGACGAACAGACCGCAACCTGCGTTCCTGCGAGTTCGTATTACTGTTAACCTTGACAGCAGAGACGCAGAAGTAAAAGCTTGGATACCACGTGCTGGATGGAGAGGCATGATTCTGCTTGTTGCGCATAACAGCAGCGAGGGAGGGAGAAACTACCTAGGGGCTACATATACCCCAAGGAAATTCGGTATGAAGGATCATCTGTACAGTAAGATGTTATTATTTGTGTGTATATGTCAGCGTCGATAGAGGCGGGGACAAGTGCGTTTATCAATGCCTATTCAATATTTCAATTTCTTACTCATCCTCTCCTCATCATTCTCCCCCAACTCACCGCAACTAACCGGCCCTTACGACCTCTATTTCGTTTGATTCATCTCCACCTCCACAACCCTCGGAACAATCCACCAGTCGTGATACCCCTTTTCCGGCTTAGGCACTTCCACCTCCAAGCCCAAGCCCAATCCTGGCTCCCCCTGCTCATGAGCGATAACCGCTCTCCTAACAGTCTCAACAGCAACCCCAACCGCAATCGCCGCCCTAAGGACCTTCTTCTTATCCTCAACCCATCTATCGTGAGATCCCACGGTACACGCCTCCTCGGGGGTTACCCGTACTAAAATCTCGAGCGCGGCCCTAGCCCCGAGAGCAGCTTCCGAGGCATCGCCGAGCAAGTCGGGCGCCGACGTGCCCGGCCTCAACGTGGCGCGCTCAAACGTGCCAAACGACAGCAGCTCGGGCAAGCCGATGCCCGCAAATGGCTTCATACGCACCTCGTACCGCAACAAGTCGTTGCTGTAGGGTCGCGTCAGCCGTGGTATTAGGCCTAGTCGCTGCAGTGCCGCGTAGAAGAGCGAGAGCGCGTTGGCGAGTTTCCAGGTCATTTCTGCCTCGAGGGCCATGGTCTGCAGGTAAGACTTTGAGCGGGAGAATCTGGGATCCTGCGGGGATCCTGCTGTGGTTCCTGAGGAGGTTGAGGTTGAGGTTGTTGACTCGAGGCGGTGCAGGGCAAAGAACTGGATGCGTTCCGTGTGCTGCGCCCGGTTCTTGGCCAGGTAGCTCAGGTACCGGTACATGCCCGCCAGCTCGTCGGGCTGGTAGATTTCGAGCTCGAAGCCGAGCTGGACAATCCACTCCATCAGTCGGAGCTTGTAGAAGTAGGCCCATGAGGACAGGGGTAGCGAGTAGGACGGGATCCCTTTATACATCAGAGGCGTCTCCTCGGTCGCGGTTTGGAGAATCTGGTCGATTTCTTCGGCGTTGAGCTGGACCATTTCCCAGTCTTGAATCGAATGGAATAGCGTTCGACGGACGCGACACCGGTTCTGGCAGAAGGCGCGGAAAATGTCGAGAAAGGACTGGGCTGCCCGCTGCCGGAAGAGCTCCATCTGAAGGCTCATGGTGAAACGCGGGTGATTAGGGGCTTCAATGGCATCGTTGGCGGGATCGAGGAGGATGCTGCCTGGCAGGACGACAAGCGACAAGTCGTCGTCGACGAGCTGGCGGATGCTAATCTGGCCGAGAATCACCATGTCCTGGAAGAGAAAGTTTTGGAGAAGGGTGCGAATGTACACTAGGGGCTGGGGTTTCTGAGCCTGGAAGGCTAATACAAAATTCTATATCCCGTTAGAAGCCGACCATCAAGTTCGGCCAGTCAGCATGAAAACACCTACTAGGAGGCTTTGCGAGTCATGATAGTTCAAAACGTTGAGAACATTGAAACCATCGGCGAACAGCTTCTTGAAGTGCTCATATGTCTCTTCGGGACTCGGCTGAACAATGGGTCGGGGCGGCATGGTACTGGCGAGCCTCCGCTGGATTTTTGTGCTAAAAGCCTCCGGAACGGGCCTCCCCAGGTGCCTTGACTTGTAGATGGCCTCCCAGACCGACTGCAGCTGAGACCAGGGCAGGCTCAGCGACTCCGGGTTACTCCTTAGCTCGGTGAGCTCAATTGCTCGCAGGAAGGCAGTCCTCAGCTCCAGACGGAAGCCCAGAGCCTGCGCCATCTCATCGGATATTTCGGACCTAAACATGTGAAGTGTTTTCCGGGCCGACATGATCTCTGTGCGGATCTCATCCCGGTCAATGTTTTCCAGCAGTGATCGGTGGTAGGTGTTGGTTACAAAGTCTTCCTCCTTGGTGGGAGTTAGCTGCTACATCTGGAGGTAGCGGGAGCAGTCGAATGACTACCTACTTCATAATAGTGCTCGAACTTGATGCGCTCGTTGACATACCAGCAGGACTTCAGTAGGCCTAAGCAGTAGGCTCTAAGAATGCCCAGTATAGCTTCCGCTCCTGGGGCGCGATTCCTGATAAAGTCAGCCTCCTCCACCGTCGCTGGATCCGCCACCAATATTCTGTCAATGTAAACACTTGTGAATAGTGTCTGAGAGAGCGGATAACCGAGGTGCCACGCCATCTGTTGCGCTGAGTCAGTCGAGCACATCTTCCACGGTCAGTAAGACCAACCTCGAGGGACAGCAGCTGGTCGATTATACCCAGTACTTCACTCGGAAGCAGAGGTCGCGTCACATCATAGTCTTCATCGAGAGACTCCCCTGGCGCTAGGCACCCGCTGTCCATCTTGGGATCCATGATCTAGGCTCTCGTTGGTAAGGTCACTTCTCTAAGTAAGAAAACGACTGGTGAGAAACGGACACACCTCAAGAGCCCCAACGGACTCGAACAGCGTGAAATAGCCATCCTTAATTAGCTCGCCAGGGGCCAAGGCTGCACAGGATGATTTGGTCAGCACGGATAGGGATAAGGAAGACTGAAAATGAGAGTGAGGATGAGAGGGTGAAAAGGTGCTGTTGATGAGCTGCCGAGACAGCTAACCTACTAGAAGCAGCCGACACAAATTTCTCAGTTATGTCAATGGCGATAATGCCCTCGCTGGATATCATGGGCGGCGGGGGCTCCCCGAAAGCGTCGGACGGAGACGCGGGATTGTTGATGTTGAGGCTGACAAAGTCTGGATCATGTTGCAATGTGCCGTTAACTGAGTGTTCGTCTGACCCTTTTACTTTGGCAATCACTTACCCTGGGACACACTTGCCTCGTCATCTTGGGATGACGCCATACTCGGTCTGGACAAAAATAGGGCTGTCTTTCTTTGAGGGAGCCTTGCAAGTTGATGCAGGGCAGGATTTGGGAAGCAACGGATGCTTTGTTAGTGTGTTGCCTTATGTGTGGATAAGGATATCACCGGCACACCTGAGCTTCCTGTCATGCTCACTTTTTTCTTTGGCACTTTTCCCAAGGCAGGAACAGTGGTATGCAAGTCACATTCTCGTGGAATTGACATGACGAAAGACGGAGAATTTACGACCTATGGCTACTGGAGAATTAATCCGTATCACAACTGTGCTGTCGCGACATCAATCCGGCAGCCTAGAACCATTGTCAAGTGTCGTCTATTGAGCCTCTCCTGAATATGATACAATCCCGGCGTTCCTGAGAGGCCAAAGCCAGGGAGGGAGCTAAGGTGGTTGTGATGCGCTCCGAATAATCGATGTCGTTTTACACGCTTAACTCAGCGTTCTAGTCCCCCCCCTTCGTAATCCGCATCCTGTCAATCATTCCTTCCCCTTACTGCGCACCGCCGGCGGCAGCGCTCTCGACAGCCGCCTCGGCATTCGCATCGGCCAGATTCTTGACATCGCCCTGCTTGCCGTTCTGCAGATAAAATCGTGCCATCAGCCTCGTATTCCAACCTCCCATGTTGTACTTCAAGCCTCCGTGATTTCCACACCGGGTATCCGTAGCTCCCACTTACCGACCACTTCGCAAACTTGAGGTCCTGCTGGCCCCGGCGCTCGGCAGCGAGTCTCTTGTCTTCCTTCAGGCTGCGGCGCACGACGCGGGCGGCGACGGCGAGGTAGCGGTTGTAGCTGGTTTCGGGATATCGCGTCAGCCCCATTCTATACGACAAACTTTCCCCTTTATTCTCCAATACACCGAGGGAAACAGCAATTGACTCACGTAAGGCCAGCGGCTTTCCACGCGAACGTCATCTTGGGCGGTTTAGTGGAGGGGTATCTTGGTTGCGCTGTTCCAATGCGAGAGCTGTTTCCCTAGGCGAGAAAAGCGCTCGCAGCCGAGAAGCTCCGTCTCGGGTTCCGCAGTCACGTGATTCTCGTAGATGTACAGTACCCCCTTTAACAGTTAACACAAGCTCAAGACGACAACCAACCTAGGTACTGCAGTCCAAGTCAAGAGCAGAGGCACGTTGCAAGATTGAGAGCAACATATCAGCAACTATCACTCCGAGTTCATCCATCAATACAGTTAGCCCAACAAAACATCTCCCAATCGCCCTCGCTCTGCACCCTCGCCCTCTAAATATGCCCGCCAGCCATCGCAGAGATAGGAAAGTGGGTTTAAGTCTAGATAGGAGTCACTATATGCACAAAGGGACAAGCCGTCAATTTTACAACGGCCGAGGGGCTGTTGATACACATTTTCTCCTCTTCTTTTCCCGCCCTACGCAGGCCCCACGCCTTCCTTATACCTTGAGGCCAATCTCCTCGGCAAAAGGCAATACGTGCAAGTCACCAACCGCCGCAACCGATGCCTTGCCATCTAATAGTGTCTTTGCCGCCTGTTGAAGCTTCGTCAGTTACTTGAAAGTGACAATGTAGAGAGCAGGGAACTCACAGCCTTAAGCTTGTCCGCCGTCACAGATTCCAAAGCCTTGACCGCCTCAGTAACCTGCATAGGCTGGTTGCCGTGAACCAGGTTTGCACCGGCGTGCACGATACCCACGCCGCTGACCTCGCTACCCGACAGCAGGTTGAACTTGGCCTTGGCAATAGCCTTGACCAGGTTCTCCTGCGAGACACCACCCTCCGCGACGCCCTTGAGCGCCTTGACCGCCGCCTCAGCAGCCTTGCGGACGGCAGCGGCTTGCCCGTTGATCTGGATGGCCAGGAGGCCGGCATCAGAGTAGGCGTAATTGGTGGCCTGGGCCTGCGCGCCAGGGGCGGTAGCCGTGGCGTTGGACAGGAGCGAAAAGCCCGGCGACCACTTGATGGTGGATTGGCCGCCCAGAAGCCCGACAAGAACGGCCGTCTCGGGCTGGTTGGCGCTGAGTGAAGCGCCGGGGAAAGCAAGAACCATCGAGTTAGGACCGATACGGGGGATCCGCTGCTCGCCGCCGAAGTACTTGGTGGGCGTCACCTTCAGCGGTGACGGGGATTCGGCGGGTACATCCTTGAAGAAAGGCTCAATCCACTTTGACAGGCCTGCCTCGCTCGCGCCGTCGGCGATCACGGCAATGGTGGATTTGCTGTACACGGCCTCGGCGAAAGCGGCGACGGAGCTTTCGTTTAGGTATGAAGCGATAGGAGTACTGGGAGTCGGGTAGAGGGGGGCGCCGAGACCGGTGTGAAAGGCGACCGAGTGGGCGGCATCGAGGGCAATGGCGGGAGCAGCGACCTTGGCCTGCTTCGCGCGGATAATGTCCTCAACTTCTTCATGGAACTCGTGGGCTATTTTCCAGGAATGAGCACGTCTCGTACTGACAGCACATGGTGAGCAAGGAAGCTTTATCACGCACTGGTATACCGCGTCTTGGAAATGACTTCGGCAAGAAGCTCGGTGAAATACGGGAGGTCCTCGCGGAGGAAATTTGCCTGCAGGATCAGGGCTTCCCGGGTGTGGTACGCGCTCAATTGGCCACCGAGAAGCTCAGCCTCGCGGACGATGCGTAGAGCGGACCGTCGTTCTGTGTTCTGCCGACGACATGTTAATTAGCTCATGCGTCCCCGAGTCGCGCCCAACACCGCCAACACCTGAAAAGATGCAAACCTGCCTTGAAAGCGTACTCCTCCAATCCGACCGTCAAGCCTGGGAGAGGCTCGTATCTGGTGCCAGCCTTTGCGACGATGGCGAGGCGGGTGGTTGGCCCATTGTCGTCTCGGGAGGCGACCTTGACGCCAGCGATGGAGGTCGGTTCGTACGATGCCTTGGGCGAAGCGACGGCCGCAAATCCGCGCTGCGCAAGCTTTGCAGCTCCCTGGCGGCGAAGAGCCAGCTGGCTGCCCCTCGTCAGAGCCGGTCTGCAAATCATGGTTTGGTTGGAGGGGCCGTTGGTTGTCAATTGACAATTGTCGAGGTTTTGCGGCGATGCTGGAGAGCTCTGTCTGCTATGGGCTCCCTTTAGCAGTTCCGAAATTTCCCTTGGAGGTTCCCGGTATGACGGAAAAATTGGCTGTGCCGAGACTGGCCTTCCTTAGCTGGTGGCTGCTACCAGTGAGCTCCGGGCTTCTACGAAGTTACAATACAGTACTTAATACGTACGATACCTAGCATCTGTATGTAAAAGAACCTGGAAATGCCAACAAAGCACACTTTAGCCCTATGCAGACATTGTAAGCTTGTTTTCCTGCTTAATCTACATTTTGCTTTTTGTAACTGGGATTCCATGAGCTAAGGAATCGTTATCCAAGCTCTTCAAGCCCTGTGCTGCCCATATTTCTGGCACTGAAATCACGGGCTGTGACTCGGCTCCAATGGACACAGTGCGCGAGCTCAACAGTGTCAGCAGCGAAGAAAGGGCTGTGATTGGTGAGCTTTTTTCGAGAATGCCCCGCGCCGACCGCCCTTGCCTTTTGTTTGCCTTTTGGTGACTCCCGTTGCGACAAGGCTTTGACTTGCAAAAAAAATATCTGATCCTCCAAGTCAACCCCACCACATTCTCTCGCAGCGCCTCGCATCGCATTGCCGACGAGGTACTTCAATGACTCCCCGGTAGCAATTGTGGCAGCTCTAGAGATAGTGAGAGAATCTCTAGACGCCAAACTCAAGCAACCTGCGACACGTGCCCGCCCGCCATCATGTTGGTTGTACGTCGAGTCTCTGTCCTTCTCATCGCAAATTCTCGTGCAGCTTTGCGCCGTTGAACCTGCTCTCTCCCCCATCTTCAGCAGGTGCGCTAACACGATAGTCGCAGACAAAACCAGCGGCTGAGCTATGCTCTCTGCTAATTGACGAGCTCCATGGCGAACTGCCCTCGGTATGAACTTGTCCCTTAACCATTTGACCCTGAATCACACTCGAGGAGTCTGCGCCGAGGCTGATACGTTATCTGCAGAGGATATTCTCGACACTCTTGAATAAGGGCAGATCGACCCTGCCCCAACTCGCGCAGTACACGGCGATGACACCACGCCAGCTCCGCCATGGAATCGCCGTCCTGATCCAACACAACCTACTGTACTACCATCTCGAGCCCGGCTCCGAACTCGCTTTTTATGAGGCCAACATTGATCATGCATACAACCTGATCCGTACTGGCAAGATCCTCGAGATGGTCGATACCTCATTCGGTGCCCCAGCAAAGGATGTTGTACAAAACCTCCTCCTCTCTGGTCAAACGCGCATCTCAGACTTGATCGCTGCCTACCAAGGCAAGATGGATCAAGTCAACAAAGCCACGGCCCATGCCGCTTCAGATGACCCGTTTGGTCCCGAAACGAACGGTGTCAACGGTGACTCCTCCCCCAAAAAGCCCGGGCTTCCCGTCAAGAGCACCGCCCAGCTGAACTCGGTCATTTGCCGGCTGGTAGAAGCTCAGTTAATCGACGTCGTCCACACAAAAACCTTTGAAAGTCCCCAGGATATCTTAAAGACTGTCGAGAAGGAGGTCATTGACAAGCATTTTCGTGGAGGGGTCAAAGGAACCAAGGCAAAGGCCGAGCTGGAGTCGTTGGTCGCCGAGGGCCTTCGCAAGGTCCGCGACGAGTCAAAATCACTGAAGCGCAAACTGGAGCAAAATGGCGCAGCCTCTAAAAGACGAAAGCTATTTGCCGGAGCGGGCACGGCGAACGGTGGTCTGGATGAAGAAGTCGACCCGCTCCTTGATGTAAGTAGTAATGGTAAGGTTTTAGGCACTGATACCGCGATGCTGACGCCTTCACAGCCCAAACAAGTTATTCGAATAAACTACGAAAAGTGCCTAGTCGATCTGCGGAATCGTCGGCTGGTCCAGTTTGCAACCGACGTGTTTGGCGAGACGACGGCTTATGTCTACGGCATTCTCTTGAAGCTGCTTACGAAGGACCTCGCCCGCTGCCGACCGGATCCGGTTATGGATTCCAGAAAAGACGACGATGATAGGCAAGGAATAAGCTCTGTCTCGACGGCGCAGATCTTGGACAACCTCAAGACTTCCGTCGACCTATCTTTGGGGATGGGAAAGGCGGACCGCCAACAAATCTCCTCCAGGGCCGCAAACAAGGTCCATGAAAATCCTCCCAAAAAGAAGACATTGATTGAAGAGGCAGAGGTGGTTGGCGACGCAAGCGCGGACGAAGATGAAGACGGAGGGTCTAACGACGAATCAGACTATGACTCAGACTACAAACCGTCAGCGAACGGGACGAATGGCACAAACGGCGTGAACGGTCTGAATGGAACCAACGGTGCAAAGGTCAAATTTGATGATTCAGCAGCCAACAAAGACCGCCGGTTAGATCGCCCAACGCAACTTCGGCAACACCTCCTTCTGTTGGCAGAGAGCCCTCAGCGCTTCGTACGGCATTGTGGGCAGGAAGACTGGACGGTGGACTTTGAACCCCTGATGGGTGCCTTGCGTGAGGCTGAACTCGACTGGATGATCGAGAACACGTCGGGCCAGCAAGGGCTCCGCCTGGTGCGGATCCTCCGCGCCAAGGGCAAGCTGGATGAGAAGGCGCTGCCAAACGTGGCGCTCATGCGCAAGTCTGAGCTGCAGCAAAAGATGCTGGAGATGCAGACGGCGGGCTTTGTGCACGTGCAGGAAGTTCCCAGGGACGTCAAGGCCGACGTCAAGAAGTCTTTTTTCTTGTGGTACTGCGACGTGAACAGGTCGCTCGACCGGCTGCTTGATACGAGCTACAAGAGCATGATACACTGCATCCAGGTGCTCGACTTGCTGCGCGAGAAGGAAAAGGACGTGCTGGCGACGACCAAGCGGACCGATGTTAGGGGCCGGGAAAAGGATACCATGCGTAAGGAGTACTACGAGAGGTATTCGAGGTTTCTGGAGAACGAGCGGCAGCTGTTTTCGCAGGTCATGAGGCTTGATGACCTCGTTTCGGTTCTCAGGGATTTTTAGCATCTGCTGCATTACCATGATTTGTTCCTTGGGGTGAGCCGTGATGTCTGATATCAGCCAGATCATGGTCACATTGCATTGGCGGCGCAGGTGGCTGGGTTGTTTGACAAGAAAAGTTGGGCATTTGACTGGTGTTTCTGGAGGCTCTGGTATGTTGGGACATTCGACACGAAATCGGGGAGGTCTGCAGCGTTTTGATGTGGAGGGAGGGATGCTCCTGGCTATAATCGCTGATGGTCTAGAAGAGGTCTGCATGTCTTTCTATATTCCACACGCTGCTCGCGGATGTACCTGCTCGCTCAGCTCCTTCCTCGCCGAGTCGAGAACCTCCCTACAGCAGCGAGTCGATTGTTCACTACCACTGTAGTGATCGTGTAGGATTTGGAGTGAGCGAGCATGGTATGGATTATGATACCTATTTCACAGGATTCTGCTTGATCAAGCCCGATAGCCGACTCATTCTGGCAGGATATACAACCGTGTACTACCTGGGCTGGTAAACAATGAGCCGAAGCTTTGAACGAGGAGATAGAGACTCGATTTGGACGGGGTGAAGGTTGAAGAACCCCTGACCGGCATATCCCGTACTAACTTGACATTTGTGTAACGATAAATGTGACGGAAATGCCCGATGATAAGATAACTAAACTCCAGGCACAAGACCCGGGGCCAGGGTGTCTGGCTGCGTCGAATCCTCCCCGCAGTCGGAGCTTCGGACGAGTGGGCAGCTCCAGAATTTTTTTCGCGATAAGATCCCAATCCAATCTCTTGTGGTCTGAACGAAGCTAGGGAACCACCCTCCTCCATCCCATTCTTTCATTCCCTCAGTTTTGCTGCTGTGGTGATTGTCGAGTCTGCATTGTGCCTTTGGATTATTGTTCTTCAACTCTGGAACCTGTTCCAATTGTTTAAACGAGCCTTAAGCAAAAGACCATCAGAACATATACTTATATACATACAATGTCTCCCCCAATGGCAGCGGCGCGGGAGAAGGAGTCCAACCTGGCGAGGTTGTTGGGCTCTGGTACGTGAATCGACTCTTGTTACGCGTCTTGGTTGTTGGAGTACGGTGATTGACCACTCTACATGCACAGGTTCCGCCGGTATTGCCGAGCTGGCCATCTTCCATCCTGTGCGTCCCGAGCTGCGCTACGGTTCTCAGACCCCGAATTGCGGCGTTGTAGGCCCAAGGGCGCAGCTGACTGACTGACTTGGCTGCGGACAGGTCGACACCATTGCGAAGCGGCTGATGAGCAATGAAACGAGGGTGCGTTTTATCAGTTCTGCGAGGGAGTGTGGAATGGGGGAACGAAGTTTGGGGGGAACAGAAAGCTGACTAGTTGGTTGCGTTCTTTGGCGGGTAACAGGTCACGAGCATGTCGCAACTCAACACGGTCATTTTCAAGGACAAAGCCGCGGCGCCGCTCGGGAAAAAGTTCATCTCCCTATTCCCCGGCCTCGGGTACGCCGCCGGCTACAAGGTGCTGCAGCGGATATACAAGTACGGCGGCCAGCCTGTGGCCCGCGACTTCCTCAACAAACACTACGGCAAGGACTTTGAGAGGGCGTTTGGCAAGAAGACCGGCAAGGCAATCATGCATTCGACTGCGGGAAGGTGAGAGATCGATCACCCCTGGCAATGCCCGGGAAACGGGCGGAATGTTGGCGGGTTAGGGGCTGACAGAGGCGGGTTCGCTCTAGTCTCATCGGCATCGGCGAGATCGTCCTATTACCGCTTGACGTGCTCAAGATTAAGCGGCAGACGAACCCCGAGGCCTTCCGCGGCCGGGGCGTCCTGAAGATCATCAAGGATGAAGGGTTCGGTTTGTACAGAGGATGGGGCTGGACGGCAGCGAGGAATGCCCCGGGATCATTCGCAGTACGTACATCCTCCCCCCCACTGCGACTTACCCCTGAGCATCTAACCGTTACTAACCTCCACACCCACACAGCTGTTCGGCGGCTCGGCATTCGCCAAAGAATTCCTCTTCAAGCTACAAGACTACAACAAGGCGTCCTGGTTCCAGAACTTCATCGCCTCCATCGCCGGCGCGTCGGCGTCGCTCATCGTCTCGGCCCCGCTCGACGTCATCAAGACGCGCATCCAGAACCGCAACTTTGAGAACCCGGAAAGCGGCTTCCGCATTCTGACCAACATGGCCCGGAACGAGGGCCCGTCGGCCTTTTTCAAGGGCTTGGTTCCCAAGGTTCGTTGTCAATGTCCTATTGTAGAACAACAATATTGTTTGCTAACGACCTCCACACACAGCTCCTGATGACAGGGCCCAAGCTGGTCTTCTCCTTCTGGCTGGCGCAGACATTAATCCCCGCCTTTGACGTTGCGTTTGCGCGCAAGTAAAGGGGGGATAACTTACCACAGGGGTGAGGCGGATCACCCCTAGCCACGACCAAGGGCCCCTATGTCCTGCAGATGTCGGCTTTTTGTATGTACAATAACAAACTTCATGGTTCGATGGTCCGGGACTATCTCCTTTTTTCGGCGTTGTGGGAAAACGGCTTTCCCGGATTTCAGCGACGGCCGGCGATGTAGAGAGGGATAGAATTCTCGTTTTTTGTAGCGGTGATCAATGTCCATCATCGCTAGTTTTTGTTGTTAATGGCGCAGCTAGACTAATCTTGGTAGATAGAGTATTGCATCTCTTCTCTACTTACCCGGCCTTGTCAGGGCCTGGATTCAGTATCGTGGCTGTATGTCGATGTACTAAAAAATTTGCTTACTTCTCGAGCGCCGGGGCAATCAAGATAGGAAGCTCCCTATTCCAAAGGAAAGCCTTGGTATGAAGCGACTAATACGTGTTTTTACGATATGTTACTTTCGATTCGGGAGTAAAAGCCAACATCATGCCAATGACAGGCAATAATCACCACCCCCACCAAGAGACACCTTTACACCAAACTCCCAGTTTATACCTGGTCCTCTAATAATCCATTGGTGGAATAGCCGCGATATCAAGCAAAATCACCGCCAATACCTCGACTGGTGAAAATGCGCCGCCGAATTCACCATCGACACCTCGAGCGTGCCTGTCCAGTGAAAATGGAACCCACGTCCTCCCACAGTCCCCTCTCCCACCCCGTCCCCATCCCCGTACCCTTTCCCAGCCATACCATCATCTTTATTATACGCCACCCTTGTCTGGGCGCGGTATGCCTTGATAGCAGACACGACGTCACGCATCCCGCGCAAATCCCGGCGGCTGGGCCTAGGCCGCTGCTGCTGCTGCTGGAGATGAGTCGGGAAGAGCATGGCGTCCCAGGCGGGCGTAAAGATGTAGGACCCGCTTGGCACGCCGGCGGCGACATGGTTGGGGGATGCGGGCTGCGGGTCGGTTTGCAGTGCGGGGTCGTGGCGGAGGAGACGGGCGTATTCCCTCACGGCGGGCCGGGTGCGGTGCTGCTTGGAGGAGGGCGAGGGGCCGATCCAGACGGGTACGGTGAATTCGGTGTTGTCTTCGCCGGTGCATATGCACGTCATGTATTCACCGGGGTCATCGCTGTTGTCACCGTCATCCGGATTTGAATCTCCTGTCTCAGGGGATTCGCCAGGGGCGGGTTGTTCCGGCCGGGTAGAAACGGACTCTGGGTTATTTCTAGCCTGGGGCTCGGCTGCCTTGTAGGAGTGTGCCGTGGCGGCAGGGGGTCTAGCCGCAGATGTAGGCGGTTTGGACGGGGAAGAGGTCCAGTCCCGGAAGAAGCTGAATTCCTGGGCCATGAGTGCTTCTGTATCAAGGCCATTTTCTTCTTCTCCGAATCCATCGTCTTCGAGCAGCGACTCTCTGGGGTCCGGCTCGATCTCAAGGCGAATGTGTCGCAGCCCTAGCAGGGTCGACGGGCCGCGACGGTTGCCGGTTTTGGCGTCTCGGATTGCCTGTTCCTGTATGGCGGCAAGTTTCAAGAAGTGGATTAGCTTTTCTATCAGTGGACCCGTGGAATACCTGGGAATCTGCGTCAAAGTCAGAGACCGGAGTCTGGGGTTCATGTCTGGAACGAATGACTCGGGATATGCCAGCTCCGCCCGCGGAAGCAGGCATGTTTCGGCCAGCCACAGTGCCTCCATGCTTGACAGGCCGATGCCCTCAAGAGTCGGGAGCTGCGTAACGAGTGAGTGGTGGATGCGCAACACCTGCAGATCCGACGATATCACGGGACGAAACACATGGGCGAGGCCTAGGAAGCCAGAAACTTTCGCCTTGCCGGAAGCGAGCCAGGGGGGGCAAGAAGCTTCGTGTGGCCTAAAGAAGATGGAGTCACACTCGAGGTGCTGGAGCTGCCCAGCGGACGACCTGATCATTCTGGCTAAGCCGGCGGCCGAGATGTTGTTTCCGCTCAGATACAAATGGGTGATGCCTTGATGGCCTCGGCAAATATCCAAGTCATGAATGTACTCTGGCAAGGGGCTGTGGTTACCCGGACCGCCAGAGAGCGCCACCTTGACTGCATCTGGCGCGTCGGACCGTATCTTTGCCCGACCGTCTAGGCGAGGATTGGTGGTCCCATCGTGACCACCCTGCGCGTTGCTAGTGTAAAGAGGAGCATCGACAAGGTACCTATGTGGATGACTGAAAGTAGCGCTCCAGTCTGACTCGTCGACAAAGCAGAACTTGCCAAACGAGGCACTGCTTTCCCCTGGCGGGTACCTAAGCCGGCCCTCAACCTCAAAATCGCCAGTTCTTGAACTGACGGCAGGGAAAGAAAAGTGCTGCATATCATCGAAGACGCCATCTGTGAGCTTGTTGTAGCCGAGGTCAACGCTCCACAGCTGAAGTTGAAAAGTTTTGAACAGCAGACATGCTGTTTTGTCATCCATTTCCCGGCCCCGTGCTTTCAGAATACGGAGGCTGCGAAGATTGATGGGGCTCAACACGGGTCGATGTAATGGGACTCTGAGAGAGCCGGGCATGGCAGAAATATCCAAATACACAAGGCTCTCTAAATTCGGGGATACAAAGAACCAGCTAGGCAGCTTGGCCTGGCACTGCGGAATACTCAGGACCAAGGAGCTGGAACATAGCATGGCGGCCAAGCCATCGGCTTCAACATCAGGATGGCCATCTAGCAGAATACACCGGAGATTGGGAAAGGTCGAAGGCAGCATCCGAAGAGTCTGAGACAGTGTTTTGTCCCAGGAAAACAGAGTGAACTCCGGAGCGCCCACGACAAACGGGCGCAGGTCAAGCGACGTGACGAGGGCACGAGTGCTTTCTCGAACCCGAGTCATATGCCCCATGAAGCGATAAAACCACTCGATATCTGTACATCGCGGTGGGTTAGAGACGGACGCTGCCTAGCAAACCCTGCTATTTAGATGAGGAGAGGATTAGAGCCGGGCACTCGCCATTGTCCCGAGTTAAAATGGCTGCCACAGTGAGGGGATCATTCCAGAGACGCGGCGCGAACTGGTGGTACAAGCGCTTCGAGACAAGACACAGCCGTGCGTATTCCCTGACTGGCACAGAGCCAGCCACGAACTCGAGCCAGTCTGGCCGTTTCGTGGCATCGTGGTACGACGGCGGGTTGCGATCCATAGGTGATTGTTTTGGCCGGCAGGCACATCTGATCGGCCTACCCCAGGTGTTACTGTGTGGTCACTGCAGTGCAATAGCGAGGGGCAGCTTCAAGCTGGAGTTGGAGTGTTCGAGTGTTCAGAATTCAGATGCTCAAGCAGATCGGCACTATTCGGCAGGGCTGTGCTGCTGTGTGACTCGGGAGTGAATCGGGCCAATCATTGGTTTGGAGAAGCTTGGCCATTGAGGGGATGATACCCTGGAGGTTAAGGCAGACTTACCCTCACTGCAACTTCTGCAAGGCTTGCATGGACTTACACCACGATATGACAGGCATAGTGATTTGAAGCGCCGTATCTGCCTAGTCCACTAGGCTCCATCCAGAGATGAATGAATTTATCCAAATGACACTGGCGCTGATGATTCGGGACCGAGGGAACCTAGGAGACGTTGGCTGCCGGGACACGATGGACGTTCTGTCGGTATCAGCAAGAGGCTGGAAAAAGAGACAATGACGTCACCCAGCCCGAAAGCTGGGGGTGGCTTGTTGATGTGTTGAGCTTTCTGTGGCACTTAACCTTACAACTTTGTTGAGCCTCGCCGGTTGCCGAATGAGAGGATGTGGTCTGAAGTCTGAATGGGAAAGTGCTCTTGACCGGAAAGTGGAAGGCGGCGATGGGTGAACCGATTTGGCCTGGGACACTTCCAAATCGGTATGAATGCATGCAATCTATTGGTCTCAGTGTCTCACCTAACACCTAACATGCCTATACACTTACACTCGCAGGACACTTACACTACACCCAAAGATACACCAAGATAACTACACCGGCGATCTCAAGGGACAACTCGTCAACCCGCCATGCATTCATTCATTGCCAATACAGTAGACATTCATCCTCATCGACTCATGATGGCATTTTGTGCCATTGGGAATTGTTACAGAGTGCCCAGTTCAAGATACTGGGCATGAAATGAGAATCGAGAAAACAATCCACACATGACGCCTCAAACTCCATAAGCAGGTATCCAAGACCCTTAAGCAGAGTATCGTTAGGAGACTTTTCGTAGTGAAGCAGAGTGCCCCCTGAAGAAAATAGCCGAGTCAAGCGTCCGCAGAAAATGAAGTGCAATTAAACCCTCGATGGTCTCTTGGTTCCCACACGCCTCCGCTTCTTCAGCTTGACCAGTTCCTGGTACTTCTTCACCGCCGCCGCCACGTATTTAACCTTGCCAGAGTCGCCCCTTTTGAGCGTGTGCAGCCTGAGATGGCTTACGTAGTTGTCGACCCGGTTGATATCCTTTTGTTCGTTGCAAAACTCGCACGTGGTCCAGTCCTTCTTCTGATGTACACTAGTTGTAGGCGCCCAGTTAGCCATAACGAACAAAACTGTATTTTTCATGAAAAATGCTCACCTTTTGATGTGTCTCTTCATGTGTTCCTTCCTGCGATACCGTCTGTTGCATCCTGCCCAGGGACATATGTGCTTGGAGGCTGTGGCCGTAACGATTTCGCTGCTCCCCGATGGCGGCAAGTCCCGGCGCGGCGGTCTCTCCCTCTTAGTGCGTGCTCGCGGATTATTGGGTTGCGAGCGCATCTGTGCCTCGTTTTGCGAGCGTTCCTGGGCTTCTTGAAGTGCCGTCGTCTTGCTCCTTGGTCCCTCCATGCTGCCAGACGGAACCCTTGGCGGGGACATGGGGGTCAAGGGTGTAGTCTGGTCTTCCCGGCTCGTTGTCTGGATCGGCTGGAATGGCTCAAGAAGCATTGGAGCAGGCCGTTGCTCAGGGCAGCTGGTCGGGCTATCTGGTTGAGTGAAAGTGGACCACATGCTGGAGGTTTGGTCCGTCCGAGGCAGTCCATCTGAGGTGGTCCGAGCCGGCCCCTCTGGGGTGGACATCAGCGGTTGTATACTCAGTGCGATCATGCACATGCTAAAGTCCACGGACTGCGAAGGCGTCAGTTGAGCACCACGGCCGTCAAAAGGCTCGTTAGAAAAGCTAAGCTGGCATCGTGGCGGTGTGGCGGAGTCCACGGGATGGGAAAGCGTCGCTTGAGAGCCACAACCGCCAAGGGGTTCGCTGGACAAGTTGAACTGGCACCGTGACCCCGTGGCCGAGTCCACGGTCTGGGAAGGCATGGGATGAGCGCCGGAACCGCTAGGCTCGCTAGGAAAGTTGAGCTGGCACCGTGGCGGCGTGCCCGGGAAGCCAGGATGGGCAAACTCGGAGACATCGCCAGTCCTTGGAGCAGATGGGAAGTAGGTCGATGTTGCCGAGGAAGGCGGAGTGAGCTCATATGTGAGGCCGTCCATTGGTGACACGAAAGATGTGTCATGGTTGAAAGGAATGGACCGTGAAGGAGTCGAAGGAGCGGTAGTAGGGGTATGCTGACCAAAGCTCGAAGACGAATAGGAGGAGTCGTCAAAGCTCATCGACGATGACGACTCTCCGAGCTGTACATTGCTAAAGTCAAACTTGAAATCCTCCCCAAAGTTGAGGGTGCCTTGGCAGGGCAGCGCGTTGTTGTTGAAGTTCATCTTTGTCCCACGTGTAGTGATCAAGAGTTGTGTGGGAAAGCGTGGTGTCCAACGTCGAGGAAGCAATGAGGGAGCATGAAGCTAAATATACCCGAGTCCAAGAGGATCGTCAGAAGATCGACCGCAGCCCTTTAGTGGATATAGGTAGACGTATTAATCAAGGGGCATAGTCTAGCAGGTACAAGTAACAAAGGGAATGTGCCCAGGTAGAGGTCAAACGCCTCAAGTTCGCCGAGAAAATAGTTGTAGAAGCCTGAGGAGGAGGTCTCCTGGAACCACACCCTAGAGTGCGTCCTCAGTTGCTCTCACACACATCGCATCAGATGGTTATGGGGAGCATCCAGTACGGCTCAAGCGTCTCACGCTTTCCGACAAATGCATGCCTGCCGTCGGATGTCGAGCCAACAGCAGGCTACCGATCGACGTCTGTCCGCATGAAACCCAACAACTAACCCCGCTTGGGAACACGTCGTTAGGGTACAGTACATATCAAGGTACCAAGGGTGTCAAGGCTTCAAGTGGTGTCCCATCCTCCAAAAGGCCAGAAACGGTCTGGGGAAGCAGCGAATCAGAGAAGTACAGTTAATCACAGACAATACAGCCATGATCGGACAGAAGCAAGTTTGCAGTCAGCCGGAGTCCGGGGTAGCTCGTTGTTCATCACCGTCCTGGACTAAACTAGTGTCTGGCCTGTCTTGATCGCGAGTTGCTGGAATGGCGATGGCACGCGCAGGAATGAAAAGAAGGCGACGGTCTCGCTTTCTCACTACCGAGCAGCACTGAGACAGCACGGATCGGCAACGCTTATCTTGAAAGTCGAGTCTGTTTTTCCTTTGACTGTTCGGAAGACGTGGATCAAGAGATGATTCAAGTTGGTCTAGGATTATTCATTGTTTGACAGGGCAACGGCGAGCCCGTCGGTCAGCATCGACGCCTTCTGTTGTTCCATGCCCACGTTTCCATTTCCACAGCTCCCTATCGGTGGGAGAAGAAGAGCGGAACCTGGGAGTCCAGGGCTGATTTACCAATCAACCGGGTCGACAGAAGGTCAAGGGTCTCTGGAACACACAGCGGAGTCCGTGAGGATCTGGTGCCAGACTGGTGGTGTGGCTGGTTGCCTGGATCTTCCTTGAAGAAGATTGGGTGCCGTGGATCTGCTGATCGCTGCTGACATGGAGAAAACAATCGTGGAGGCAGGGCCCTTTTTGGGCTAAACTGCTTTGGTCGCATAAGCCTGGTTGGTTGGCTCGTGCAGGCCTTGCTGATTGGTTACATTCAAAAAGCTTAATCCAACGCACTGTGCTGTCGCAGTGGCGCTCCTGCTTCATGTTCTCGATCGTGACCGCCTCAGCGTTGGTATTACCTGCTTGGCCCAAAGAAACTAGGACACTGAAGTTGCGGTGCGCATTTGGCGCAAGCAAACAATCCTCTTCTCCGCCCACGGCTCCCAAGGCCACGCCATCCTCCACCTCGAAGAGTACTCCTCCTCGAACCACAACCTGAAGATGGCGTCTTGCGTGGTCCCTCTTGGTGTATGCCCTCTCCCGGATCCCAGGCACCCCACTCTCCACCTTCCTACACCACCAACTCCCATCTGGCGTACTCAAGGATGTCGTCGCTCGCTGACATGGCTGCAGCAGACGCTCTTTCTGGTTTTCTAGGAGGCTGGAATCTATAATCTCACAGACGCAGCTGCCATCACACCTGTCCCGTGCTCTTCTGGCGCTCCTCAGGTTGCGGGTGCCTGCATCCGTCTAATAGGTGTCTGTATGTATTCCAGCTTAGTCTCTCCTAAAGATTTGACAGGTCACATCCCCAATCCTGTGCGCTCTACGAAGTAGCCTGTTAGTGAATCTACGGTCGGCGACTTAGCAAATCGCTGTGTGCACTTGGAAGCGCGTGACAGACGCTTAACGTTATGAGATATCCGACTGTCCTCGCTCCTTCGATCAGAGTCCAGCCGTTGAGCCGTCGCCAAATGCCCACCTCTCCATCACCGACAGGCACACAATGCGCAGGCTTGAAGAGGCCTTATCTTGGCCAGCTCATGTTTCTGCAAGACATCGCCAGCGCCGAGGCCGCCTTTCCCTATTTCGATCTATACAATGGCATTGTTGCAACCTGCAAGCTGGAACCTTGGCGTCGATTGTGCCCCCTCGCAAATGCGGCTTAAGCATGCAGGCAGATGAGAGAATATGCAGCCTCCACTCCTAGAACCATCCCTCGACGGCTTCTGTACCACCCCAAAGAGATGCCGCGCAGGTAGTGTTGCACCACCGTGCCGCCAGTAGTCTATCTGCCAGGTACACCCAGCTCCCGAAGCAAACAGCGGGACGAAAGAGCACTTGGGGTGAACTCCTCTTGTGCAACGCACCCATTACGGTCTCCCTTGATGAGAACCTCGCTCTTCGCTTCCCATTTAGGACCTGCGGCGTGACGAAAAGGGAAGTCCCCGGGTTTCATGGATGACTTCTCCGCTCACGGGCATCCCGAGCCGTAGGTTCTTCTGTTTTGTCGTCTCATTGATACCCGTCACCGCCGGTATCAGTTCATGAATCAGGCTGGGGGGGACAGTGGAATTCCCGGAACGGCTTCTCCTGTCCGGCCTATCTCGGGGTTCGCCATAGACGCAGTATGCATGTGCCTACGATGAATAGAGCCTGCCACTACCCGGAACAAGGCTTGGGGCTATGTCAAAGATCGACTCCTCGGCAGCTGCCCCGCCGTTTATCGTTTGTCCGGATCGCCAAGCAACCCGAGTACATACATTGCGGTGAGGGGGATCGCCAAGAGAGGACTGCCATCAACTACAGCAGCCCGTGTCTGTTCGTATGTGGTCGAGTCACCTAATTCCATAATTCCACACAGATACTCCCTTCCTTGGGGAAGAGGGAGAGGAGGAGTGGCTGCCCCCGGTCATCACAAGCCATCGTGCTATACGTCAACTAATATCATCTTGACAGTCAGACTCTACCCTATCTCCAACTACACAGTTCTTTCCTTCTACCCAACACCTCAAACCAACGTCCCACACCTGTCCGCTCACTACCGGATTCGCATATCGCCGGTTCATCTGCCAGGGGTTTCCTGTCCTCGTTTTCTGGGGGATCACCTACACGTCCACACGAGCTTAACGTTAGGTAGTGACACCTCCTTTCTGGAGGTGACGGGGGAATCAGGACAATTCTCAGCCTCTTCATCAACAACCATTCCAACACCCAGGGATGAAGAAGACCTTCGGCAACCCCTGCATGCCCCTGGCATGGCCTGTGATAGAGGCATGCGCGGTGCATTGAGAGAGGTGTGATATGCACGGTTCCTCAGCTGCCCGCACTTGCACGGGATATACCGTCCTGTCTTCCGTTCGTCATCCGGGGTACATATACCATTTGTCTGGAAAGCGATCTCTACGGAGCCACGTGATGAAGAAAGTTGAGAGATAGGGAAACGATGATCAATCGACGCCTCGTCGTCTTGTGTGACTGATTATCGATTGACAGCAGGTACTCTAGGTACATTAGCTTCGTTGTGACAGCAGTCCACGAGCTCTTGATGGCTTTCTGAACAACGCAAGCCGCCAATCCGGGTGTGGCAACGAGGCGGCGTCCGTTATCCAGATATGAAATTGGGGGACATCCCGCTGAAGGTCGGACAACATGGCCCGTCCGCAACCGATCGTGGAGGTAGCCACACCGCTGAGCCATAGGTTACTATGCAACGCCGCGAGAGGGGAGAGAGAAGCCTATGCCTGCGGAATTATCCAGATGGGGACAGAAACCGTGACCGCCATCTAGCCCTATGCAGCCTCAACCTCATCATCCCCCCCCTCACTGTCTATCCTGCCGTCGTCTGCAAAGGCGTCTAGCTCCTGTTCGGTCGCCTCTAGGCCGGATGAAGACATGAACTTCTCCTCTTTCGCCTCGGCTACATTCGCAAGAAAGACACAATATGTGGTTAGCAATGGTCAATCCTGTACCTGCCAAGAAAACACGGATTCCAGATAAGTAGGTGGGAAAGGGAAAAAAGACAAAAAGAGACGAAAACGGTAAGGGGTTTCATTTTCATCAGAGAAATCCACTCACTCTTTGCCTCAACCAGCAGGTTCTCCTGCACCTCGCAGTCAGTCAGGACGCATCCCTCGCCGAGCTGGCTGCGCCGGCCCAGGATGCACTTTGTGAGCTTGCAGTTCCTGCCCACCACGACGCCGTCCATGAGCAGGCACTGCGACAGCTTGGCGCCCTCGCCGATCTGGCAGTTGGCCCCGATGCAGCTCTCCTTAATACTTGTCTTCTCCTCGACAGTCACGTTATCGGCCACCAGGCTGTCCTGCCTGCTGATGGTCGTCCGCGGCTTGACGCCCTCCGGGTAGGCCACTTTGCGGGCGTGCGCGAAGGGGGAGGGGGTGTCGGTCTCTTCGAGTGAGGGCAGTTTGGCGAGCTGTAGGGAGGTTTGCAGGAGCAGCTGGGCGGTGTCCACCCGCCGGATCAGGGGCGCCGACTCCTCCTGCGAGGGATGGATGTAGGCCACCATGGGCGGGACTAAGGTTTCATCGCTGTCTGCTGTTTCGGGTTCGTTTCGGTCTGCTGCTGTTATTGTTGCTGCTTCCGTTTTGGAAGGTGGAGAGGAGGAGGAGCTGCTGTTGTTGCTGCCCTGGCTGTCGACCCGCGACACTGGCGCTACCGAAGTCGGGGCGCTGATTGTGGTCGAGTCAACGCCGAGCGTCCGGCTGCTGTTGCCGCCACCGCCCCTGATGCTTGCATGCTGCTTCTCTTCCCCGTTGCTGTTGCGGTCGTTGCTATTATCGCTATCGCCATAACCTTGCCCCCGGAGGATTTTGTCCAGACCCAGCTTGGTGGAGAGGCCCTTCTGCCATCCGGCCTTGACCCACCACCCCACTACATCCTCGCCAATGGTCTCCAGACGCTCGTTCTCTTTGATGAACTGCATGACCCAGTGCGGGAAGATGTATATGTGGGCATCCCGGTGCGTGCTAAGCATTCGGATGCGGGGATGCCGCCGTAACAGCCCGTGGCGGACGGGGAACCCCTTCCTGTCCTCTACTAAGTCCTTGAGCGAGTCTGTCGGCATCGAGTAGACCAGCTTGGACATGTGGGGGAACAGCGACCCCTTGGCGGGCAGGACTGAAGAGGCGGGCAGCGGCACCGTGGCGATGAAGTCGGTCTCCTCGCCCTTGACGGGCGTGGCTGTTTTGGTCTGGTACCACACGCCCAGGCCGCCGCTGCGGGGCGCAGGCGCGGCAGCAGTAGTAGTAGTCGCATCACCATTTCCCGATCGCGTCGCGTTCGCGTTGTTGCTGTTGCTGCCCCCAACACCAAGCAGGTCGCCCAGGCTGGCCGACTTGACCATCCACGCCTGCAGCAGCTTGTCGGCGCCCAACTCGCACACCAGGTCGCAAGGGAGCACCAGGAAGTCCGAGGTGACGGCGGCTTGCAGCTCGGGCAGGCGGAGGATCTCGGCCGTGCCTGTGTTCTGGTCTAGGTCCTTGGGTGCCAGGAGGTCCGGCCGCGGGTAGGGCAGGCCCGTCAGGAACGGGTTCGTGTTGAGCGCCGTGCTGATGGCGGCTGCGGCTGAGGGCGGGCAGACAAGCGTGATATCTGCAGGTTGGTCGTTAGTTTTGGTCTCCTGATTATTTTGACATGACAAAGTATAGTAGAACACCCCGCAGCCGCAGGTTGTGGAATTCTGGTCTAATGAGGAGGCTTGGGTATTTTCAGGGGCGGGAATGTGAAACCCCTGAAGGCCTGAAGCCACAAAAACCGCGATCTCTCTATCTTCCCACGTGGTGTTGGTTTAGCATGGCTGCTGCCACATCACTTATCACTCACTTGTAATTCCGGCTCGGTAGCAGAACTCGAGCGGGTACCAGACCATGGGCCGGTTGGCGATGGGGAGAAGGGCCTTGGGGTTCTCATCGGGATTGGCTGTGAAGGTCGGAAATGAGCTGCCCGGCCCGCACAGAATCAGGGCCTGCAGGCCGGGCGTGGCGATGGTGACTGCGTGGGGCATCGCAGAGGGTCGATGGGACGAGCGTTTAGTGTGATTTGTTCAACGGTGGACTGAGAGACACTTTTTGTCGTGAAGGAGGTTTGAGAATGAGAATGCCCGCCCTAGTATGAAGCTGTAATTGCAGTCGGGTTTTATTCTTCATTCGAGTTAGTTCTGGGTATAGTTTGATGTGTTGAAAATAGAGCTTGAGTTGGACTAGGTATGTCAATCAGCATTGCATTTCTTTTGTTGAGATTTTATCCAAACTTTGAGGATTGTTTCTTCACTGACTCACCGAAAGCGTCGTCTTCGACCTTGAATTCATCAAACATCCCACCTTTGACTTTGGGCGAGTTTGAGTGGCCCGTGCGTGACAAAGTACCGATGTACACGCGTAGCGTACCCCTGCCTGGCAGTCTTGGCAGCAGCTCTCTCACCTTCTTCGCTGCTTCGCCCGGCCAACCAACTGCCTCGGTCTTGCACCTGAAAACGGGGCTCGGCTTATGGGAGCTGGAGCGGCGCATCAACAACCCATCCCCAGCCCCCAGCAACCGGGGTGTCGGCACCACCACCAGCCACAGTATTTACTGGAAGGTGCAGTCGTAAACCAAGATTGACCGAGGTTTATGGCAATTCGCCGACTGCGCAATCACTCCGAGACAAACAACTAGCTAATAGCAGAGCGAGCGCTGACCGATGGTGATATCTGCGCCCACCTGTACGAAGAGCTACACAACACGCACACATACATACACAAATCGGCGCGCGCGCCGCATCCCGTGCTCGCAGCGCCATGATCGATTTCTGCACCACTACCAATGTCGTCGCCATATGAGTCGTCCCGCCGCCGCCGCGGAGTCTGGAGCCACTGGGTGCCGCTGGTGCTGACCGTGACGGTCGCAACGGTCGGCGTTGCCGCCTGGGTATGGAGTCTGCGCAAGGACGACGACCACGAGGACGCCGAGCTCGCCGCCGCCGAAGCGGACCTCGACTACGAGAATGCCGACTACGGCGATAACCCCCCCTACGGCGCGTCCCGAGACTCCAAGTCCCCGGCTGTAGGGGGTGGTGCCACCCAGCCTCGCTCCGGCGACGCCACTGCCGCCCCCTACGCGCCGGCACAGTCGCAGGCCGAGTCCACCGCCACGGGCTGGGCCGCGCTGCGCCGGACCCCGAGCCCCCAGCAGTTCTTTGACAGCGCGAAAAGGACCGTGGCCGCCGGTGTGACTGCCGCCGGCGCGGCGGTGGGCAGCGCACTGGCTGCTATCAGGGAGGAAGACAAGACGATATATGAAGACCATGAGAAGTGGTCCGAGGAAGCGGATGCCAAGAGAGAGAAGGACGTGGCGGCGTCCTCACAACGGAGCCGAGATACCAACAAGCGCCGGAAGAAGGTGGCTATTGTCGTCTCGGCGGACAGTCGCCTGGATCATGTGGACGCCGACGGCTTCCACGAGCATGCCGTGAGTGTTTGGTGTCACTTGCCTGCGCAGAGATGATATGCTAACCAACAGCGCCACCAGTCTATCCTGTCCCACATTCCCCGGCAAACCGACTTCGCCAAGATCAAGCTCTACGTGCTCATCTACGCACCAAACCTCAAGGACTCGGCCTTGGACGCGACGAGCAACCTTCCGCCCGCGTCGCTGAGCTCGTCCTTCTCAAACATTGACCACGCGCAAGCCCAAACCCCGGCCGACGAGGCCAAGAGTCCCCTGCTGTAAGTCCCTGCCTCCCTTTGTCCTCCCCACATCCTTACAACAAGTTGATCGAAATCATCACTTTCACTACCCAAATGATAACGATAATACTAATAATACCCAGAACCAGCGGCGCCCCATCCGACTCAGACCGCGCCTACAACGCCGTGTACGCCCAAGCCCAAGGGCTTGTGGAAAAGGACAGCATGATCCTGACCTTCACCACGCCCAACGGGCACGCGCACATCCTGCGGCATATCCAGCCCGAGCTTATTTACCTGCAAGAGTCCCTGGCGGGGGACAACGGCAGTGTCGTTGAGAACCTGCAGCACTGGCACAGGCAGGACATTGTCCTGGTCGTGGGCGCCGAGGAAGGGCATGGCGGGTTGGCGGATAGTGATGATTCGGAGGTGGAACGTGGGGGTGATGGTGGGAAGGATGGGAAGTGGAAGAAGAAGGCCAAGGGGGATGGGGAGGGGGAGGTCTGGTGGCATAGGGAGGAGAGGGTGGGTAGAGGGAGGGGTGTGATCGTGGTTGATGGGATGAGGGTGCAGGATGATTGGGCGAGGAGGGTTATGGGTAAGGAGTGAGAAGGGTGTGATTCTTATGTAGTCATGATGTAGAGACTTTTGAATGACGGATTTGGGATATGGCGGGGGATGTGTCTCTGGGCTTAGGGTGTAGCAGGTCAACGCTTGAGTGAATCAGGTCTCAATTCTAGATATACATACGTAAATGATACTATCTAACAAGCACCTCACTGTTAGGTCAAAAGGTCAAATTCATCTTGGCTGTGGCCTTAACATCAT